TTGGACATGGTGAGAAAGGGCTCTTTACTTATTTCCTTTCCTGACCAGTGGCAGTGTTACCTGACTCTGGTTGAGAAGAATAATTAGAATTGCACAGTTAAATCTGCCCTATTGTATGTTGTGCAAGAATTAGAGCAAGAGTAAGAAGTCTGTGCAGCAAATCTATCAAGATAGTGACGAGAGTATCTTCGATGTTACTCCTACACACTTTTGTGGACATGCTTAGTCTGACAGTCAGGGTTGGTTGCCATAATTAAGCCTAAGTGATCTCCAAATTAGATCCTGTAGTGTTACAGCCACACACTGGTTAAAATGACTTGCCGTTGAGCTTCAGAGTTGTTGCAAATTCTCTGTTTTTTATCCACTTTTAACGCCATCAGCACGTGGCCTGCATACAGTTTTTGAGCGACTATAAGTGTTGCTGGAGTTTCTCTTGTGATTATCTAATCAATCAAAGCTTTTACAGGAGGGACTGAGGCTGGGAAGGTTATGTAACTGCTGACGTCAGGGTCCAAACAAATATGGCTACATGGAGTAAAGCAACACAGCTATAGAGATTGTTGCAAACTGCCTGAGTTGGAAACCTGCCCCCTGTGATATTTAAGGAATGGATCAATGCTTCTCATTGTCCTTTTTGCCATTCTGATGTAAAAAAGAAGATGTGAGGAGGCCTGACCAGCTACTCACCAACGTAACAGTCTTCTATGTTGACAGCGAATTGTTGTTGTTAGAGAAACTGTGCTCTGACACTGCTTTTAAACACATAAAGCATCCTATCTGACAAGCAGTCTTCCAACCATGACTGTGATCTCTCTGTAACTGTAACCAAGTAGGTTTAGTTGCCTAAACTTAACCAAACCTAGAGGTGGGGGATCAGGAAATAGTCATATGGGTTAGGGCAAAATACACCTCCATGGCTTCAACTTCCCCTTCCAAGTGTAAAGAAGAAACTATGGTGGCCACAAAACACGTGAAAAACGTGAACGCCCCTATATCCAGAGCCAGTGTTTGGTTTGTCCTTTCTGGGCCACTGTAGAAACATGGCGGTTCAACATTGCAGCCTCTACCGAAGGTGACCTGTGGTATCTGTACATAAAATCGGCTCATCCTGTGGTCACAAAAGCACAACAATTCTTATTTTTAGGTAAATATGCACCAAGGAAAACACAATATTCTGTTCCATTTCTGCCAATAGATCCTCCTAAATGTTACACACTGGACCTTTAACTAAAAATGGCTTAATCAGGCTGCTAATTATTGGTGTGTTTGCATCAGCTCTCTGCAGGTTCGAGCTGTTGGAAAGCTACAGTCTGATTTGTTTGGATCCGACACAGGAAAACACAGCGGAGGAAAATGAGGCCTCCCGTTTCTTAATTATTTAAATCAAACAATTAACTACGGCTGTCCTGGGAAAAGCTCTTTTATCCGCTCATCCACAACAACAACAGCCACTATCCTGGGTGGAGTCTGAAGGAGGACGGATCACATGGAAAACACCAACCAATAGAGGAAAACACAACCATTTTTTTTTTTTTTTTTTTGGTAGTTTTTAATTATTAAACCAACTATTTTGGACTGTGCAGGTGCTGTGCAGTACACAGGCTGAGGCAAGGCACTTAAAAAAGCACCACAGATATATCTAAAATCACAGCATCCTATTGTTTTGTGCATTTTCTGTTTCAAAATCACCACAGAGGGCTTGTCCAGTGAAACTTACAGCAACATCAAAGATGTGTTAAATAAACTTGAAACACTTTGGCATAGTTAGTGGTTAATGTTGTGGAGGCTGACCAAAAGAAGAGGCTGGTATATAATGATATGTTACCAAGGATGATAAATAAACTGAAATAAAGCCACTTTAAATAATAAGTAACCTCTACTTCCCTGTAGAAACATTTGGGGATATTGTAGTAATATTATAGCTTGTCCTTATTTTTTTGTGCTGTGTATAATTTGCATCCCATCACTTTGTCTCAGGAAAGCTTGATACACTGTTCACATTGATTACACGGTCAATTATATATAATTTATAGGCTTCAACTGGAGAGCCGCTCCACGATTAAACTTTGATGAAGCCATGTACTACATTCTTTGTTATAGACCAACATGCCAGCCACTGTCTGGTAGGCAAAAAATATCTGTAAATATTGACAAATGCGCAATACAGAAGTCGATTTTTTTGCTCCTCTGAACTTAAAATATGAGAACGATCCATCAATAAGCTGAAACATATTACACATTTGGAAAAAGTCAGATAGGATTAACTATATCACGCTTGATATTTTAAATTGGGATTGAATAAATATTAGTCAAATACTTTGAGAATGAATATCAAAGTAAATTTTTTTTTATAGTATGTGTAGAATTTGGAACAATTATTTAGAGGAATTTATAATATTATTTGTATTATTATTATTATTATTATTATTATTATTATTATTATTATTATTATCATTATTGCCTTTTAATTTGAATTTCCTTTTTAGCTTAGTTTATTTGTTTATTAGTTTAGTTTAATCTTTATTTGCTGTCATATTAAGTAATTTGTGTCTTCACCTGATGGCCTTTCAAAGACTCCAGTATTATTTTATTTTTTTAAAGAGTCACATAAGGGAAGGTTTGTCTTGTCAGTAGGCTTACGTTGTCTAATGCATGTGCATATTCTAAGTAATCTTTGTTTCTTTGCAGAATTATCATCCAAACCAGTGAAACAGACCTTTCCCCCTTCAGAAGGAGACCATTACAGCTCTTTACAGCGGATCAGTTCACCCTAAACTGGAAAGTCACTCTTTATCTCCCAACTGTCAGAATTGAGGAGCAAACTTATATGACCTCACTCATCCACTGATAAACTTTGACATTTAGCTGTTCTTCAATTTGCTGGTGACCCCTTTCAGATCCTCCATCAGCCCCACATTGGCACCCGTTGCTTTAAAGGTCTGTATTGGGTTGCTCCGAGGGGATCAGGGCCCGAGCTGCTGTTGTACGACAGAGTAAAGCAGCTTCTTAACAAACACACGCAAAAATCAATAGTATCATAACAGCCGATATTTATTATTCATTAATAACGAGTTTATGGGCCGAAACCACCTGCTGAGCTGAGGAGAGAGGAGAACAAAAATTCTAATATCAATAAAATTCACTGCTACTGTATGTACACAGTGTATAAACTGACACGTTGATGTTTAAATTTAAACTTTCACATTCCCAGTCAGCTCTGATTCTAATTGTCTATTTCCAGATGCTACCATTTTGTGATTACATTAACCATTTTGTGTTTCCAGAATACCAGAGTCCTTGGAGGTGTCAGGTTGTTCCTCTCTGCCAGAACACTGTAAAATGTGAGTCTGTGCAGATTCACCCACTGGTATTTATCTCAAAACTCTTGTTTAATGTTTAAGGTCTACTACGTCCACTTTATGCAACATTTATGATTTATTTGACTCCAAATGTTTCTCTTAATGTGTCATATAAAGCATCTTTTAGTAGAGTAACAGCTGGGTTTAAATCTGCTGGAGCCTCCTCTGATAAAATAATAATAATGATAATACACAAGTGTATTTTCCACCCCACAATTCATCGCTTTAAAAATGTAAAATAAAGTTATTTGTTGATTTGTTGTTTGTTGATTTGCAAGTGTGTTGTGTGGCAGAAATGTCATAAGGCTGAAAATTAGATTGATAGTTAATTAATTAAGAAAACTGGCACTTTAAATATGAAGCTGATGTAACGTGAGAAGGGGGACACATTCACATTGTCATCATTACACTGCAAAGTGAGGGTTTTTGTCTTGAACGAACTGATTTCTTGGATTCATGTAAGTTTACTCTCTCAAATTTACACATTCTGATGTTTTAGAAACTGATTGCTGATAGTTTTGGAGTCACTTTGTTTCAATTTTACTACTTTTAGGCCAACATAATAATAAAAAGATTAAGACGCCAACATTTCCCTTCCAGAATTGCATTACTGAAGTGTCACTGAAGGCTCTGAAACATAATTTAGACCTTCATGTCCATGCAGAACATATAACTGAGCAGTTAACTGAACTTTCCTTTATGGTCAAACTGTTGAAGGTGTGTCCGGGGGTCTATGAGCTCTAAAATCTTGGATAAGATGCTTTTGCTCTGGTCTTTTAATGTTTTTGGTGACATGAGGACAATATATGTCTCTTTGTTTCAGTCTTAAAATATTTTACTGTGCTTAAAACATGTTCAAACTGCCTAAACTAAAGCATGAGGGACAGAAGATCTGGTCATATCTAGTTCACCTTCTTTAGTTCTCATTGGCCACACAAGTTTACAGATATCCTAGCTGGAGTGGAACAAGAAAGCTTTTTTTTATTTCTTGTTATTTATTCAGTCAGTTTCTAACTTTGAGAACCAGCAGCTCTTTATTGGCTCCGCCTTCTGAGGCTTCATATTTTCTGCCTCAGAGAAAACGTTTGTTGGAACTAAAAGCATCAGATACAAGACCTGCCTGCGTATTCCTTGATGTGATAGAGCCGTGTAGTCTTCATACCCAGCAAAGTTGATCAATATTAGAGTCACTCAAGTATCAAATCCTATTCATCACCGCTGGGAAGCAGCTTTCAGACGGACCTCCTTCACCTCCAGGCTTCTCCTGTTTCAGAGCAGCAGCTGCCCTCCTCTCTGCGCAAACGCACACACACACACACACACACACACACACACACACACACACACACACACACACACACACACTGTATCCAAGAGACAGAGACGCAGACTGCTGCTCATATTGCACTGGTCCATTAAATCTATCTTCAAAAGAAAAACGACTATTAACACCTCTAACAGCAAACACAGGCCCGCTAAAAAGCTGATCAGTGTTTTATTAAATGGTTAATGGAACCAAAAGCTGTTGTCACGGTGCCTACTCTTCGATTAAAACGGAACAATAATATCATTTTTACCCCAAAACTTGCCGTTTTGTTGATTTCGATTTTGTTTATTTTCCAAAGAAAGGCTGTCAGAGGATGAAGTAAAACGTGCACGGTTTATTTCAGCTTCTGTCGCTTACACAGACACATTTAAAGCACACTTTCACAAATGAAATATGTATTTTTTTTCTCCAAAATAAATTAAGTTCAAATAAATAAGGGCAACATAAAGAAAATAAAACAAAACTTAACGTTTCAAGTGTTAAGTGTTGAAAAAATATGTATAAATAAGGCCGACTATTTCCCCTCGTCAGAATATCTACAAAGTGCGCTCCACAAAGGTGTCAGTGATAATAATAATAATAATAATAATAATAATAATAATAATAAGCAAAATATTCATTTTCATGAGGACACAAAAGGGGGAGATCAACAACTTAATAATAATAATAATAATAATAATTTGATTGTCAAAGCATCATTGCAGTGAACTTGAACATACAACAGGTTTACACATCAGTGAGTCTTCTAGGCCTAATTCACCATTAAATCGGTGGAAGAGGAACACAAAGAAAATAAAAACACATTAAAAAACAAACCAAAAATGATCCTATACTCGTCTTTTTTTTTTTTTTTTTAGCGTGTGTGTTTTTTTAAAATCACCATGAACGTGCCAACACTTGCGTAATGAGGTAGCCACACAGCTATACCGTGTGAATGTGTGTGTTCGTGCGTGTGTTTGTGTGTGTGTGTGTGTTTCTTCTTATTGCAATGCATTCACTTGGGGGGGGTTATTTTCATATTTTTGGAGCCATAAAACGCACAGAAAACACCCCTCTCCCCCCTTTACGAGTAAACCATGCAATGGGTTACAGTTATTGTGCCTCATAAAGTCGCCACAGACCGACACTGGTATTCCTTTTTGTCCGATCTATTCCCCAAAAACTATTGAATTCCCTACAGAAACGAACACCTGGGAGAAAAGACAGCGAAAATTCAATACATTTCAATGAGCTTTTCCACACACGGAGGTGCAACATATTCACAAATATGTACAATGATAAATATAAAAAAGCTATTCCGACTAAGGAGGATAATATCAATTATTCCTCGATCATTATTCTGCTTATTTTTTGTACAATAATTGCCATAAGAATTAAGTGGGACGGAGCATTGTTCCCCCCACCCCCCAACCCAATCTTTTTCCGCCACGATGGTGATCACTTCCTCCCACATCTCGGAGAGCATCGGCCTCTTCTGTGCAGAAGCATAAAAGATTTGAGAGTCTCGAGTTTTTGGACCGGGGTCTCAGTCTTTTTCTCCCAGTCCCGGTGCTCCGTCTCCGCTGTCAGAATCAAAAAAAGGTACACCGTTGAATCCAGTTGTTTTTTGCAGCTGCATGAGGCTGAACCTTCCAAAAAGCAATAATAATAAAAAAAAAAACAGTTCCTGCATACTGAGTGGAGAATAGTCATCAGGTGTCCCGCATCCAAACCTCTCAGCGCCTCTAGAAATACAGCTAAATGGCTCCAGGGTTGTTGTTGTTTTTTTGTTGCCGCTTCAGAAGCAAGATAAGTTGCTGCCTGTGTTGAATACTTTCTGTGAAATCGTTTCCACATCTGGATTTCAGGCACTGGTGCAAGAAAAAAAATAAAAATAAAAATAAACACGGCTGTGAATGCTGCTCCTTTACAAGGTGGACAACACTGTAATGATTCTTAAGACATTTAGTCCATATTTTAGTCAGAAAATTTGTTTTTTTTTTCTTCTTCAATAAATAACGAATTCAGCCAATGAGGTGGTGCAGCTTCTTACATTTTCGATGCAGTCTCATTTGAACGCAAAGAAATCACTTAATGGTTATAGATGACTAAACTTTTATCTTAAGACTCGGTGAGAGACTGGATGACTTGTTGGGATGGATAATCTGGCTGTGTGTGGAACGGGTCCAGCCCCAGTAACCAAAGGCACAACGGTGTACCTTGTTTTTTTCTGACAGTGTGCAGCAGCAGCTTGTCTCTGATTTGTCTTTTTGTAAACGGGGCAGAGACCCGCAGGTTTCCCCACGCTGGTCTTAGTGCGTCGCAGAAAACTTCATCCGTTTCTGCTTTTGCCTCTGATTGCAAAACCAAACCCGGACCACGTTCTTTTTCAGGTCCAGTTTCTCAGCGATTGCGGCGATCTTCTCCGACGAGGGCCTCGGCTGCACGGCGAAATAAGCCTCCAGGGAGCGCTTCTCGGGGGCGGCGATGGACGTTCGTTTCCTCTTTTTATCGCCCCCGTTGAAGATCTCCGGCTTGGCCATCTTCTCCCTCTGCGCCCGCTCCGCCTCCTCCAACCAGGCCTCCAGGATCGGCTTAAGGGCTACCATGTTGTTGTGCGACAGCGTCAGGGACTCGAACCTGCAGATGGTACTCTGGCTCAGACACCCGACCCCGGGGATCTTAAGGTTGGCCAGGGCCGCGCCAACGTCCGCCTGGGTCACCCCGAGTTTGATCCTCCTTTGTTTGAACCTCTCGGCGAACGACTCCAGTTCCCGAGGATCGGGCTCCGAGTCTAAGCCAGTCCCCAAGGAGCTGTGGGACCCCAGCCCGTGTGGGTGCATGTTCATGGACTGTGAGTGATGGTGGTGCTGCATGTGGTTGATGGCCGACATGTGGGCTGCGTGGGCGGTGTGCGAGGCCGAGGAGCAGACGTCCGAGCCGGCCATGCCTCCCAAAGAGATGCCCGGTGTGAGGTGGTCCAGCAGGTCACCCTCCAGGCCCTGTGACGGCTGGTGGTGCGCCGGGTGGTGGTGGTGGTGGGAGCTGAGCACCGACGGGTGGTGCAGGTGCGCGGAGGAGGAGGTCGGGGTGCAGGTCATGCTGGTCATGGTGGTCATGGTGTGGTAGGTCGCGTCTGGTTTGAACGGATGACTCTTCTGGGCCACAATGTCCACAGCGGCCAGAGCCTCGGCTCTCTGCAGCAAAGTCTCATCAAAGCCGGCGAAGATGTTGCCCTGAAGCTGCAAGAGGAGAAGAGTCAGACTGGTTAGAGAGGAAATCTGACAGAAATCAACATATTGATTTCATCATAACCAGTTTAAACAACTTTTTTTCTCCCACTGCGCCTCCAACATGCTCAACCTTTCTAATATGGATCACCCCAAGCATGGACTATTTTAAGTTTAGTGTAAAGACATCCATGTTCAGATTTAAGATAGAAATTAAGCCTAAACTTTAAAAGGTAAAAACTGGTCAAAAGAGGAAAAATGAAAAATGATTAATATCAGTGAGGTGGAGCTGTTCTTATTTTTACACAATAAATATTAAACACCATTCCCCGCTTCTTGTATCAGTTTACATTTCTAGCTGTGAGATGAACTAACTAACTTTAAAAAATGGAATATTAAGCAGCGTAATAAGCGTGGACATTTTTAGGATCCTATCTCAACTTTGCACAATATGTAAAAGTGTCCTTACAGCTTCGATGCAAAGACAACAATTAACTATACATTTTCACACAACTTTCACTGAACTTCGTTTCTCACTCGTCAAACAATGTAATCTAATGCAACTTGGACATCACTGGATCTGCCTAACGCCTAGAAAGTGTGTCAGCGTGGATGGATATTCATTTAAAATTAATATTTACGATCTCCTGAATAATTTCTACGGACAATGAAATGAGACGAGTGTGAGTTTGAATATGAATGGGACAATATGAGATAACACGCGCTGAGAGAATCCACGCCGGCTCTTCCACTTTTTTTTTTTTTTTGCTTCCTCCTTCATCTTTTATCTCCTTTCACTGTTAGCAGCATCACTTGCACTTGCCTGACTGCAGGATTTGGTTTCTCAGAGACGCATTTGTGCGCCTTTTTGCGCACAGACGTGCTGCTCTGAGTAACCATAGTGTCTTGTTTTCTGTGTCTGGTGCTATCTGATCCATCCTGTCATCACCATATGCCAGTTGGTTCAAATGTTGTGTTAGATTTTATATTTAATTTATTGATGTCATGTTTTTACACTTAGGCTTCATTTCCTTCACTGTGTCCAAAGAGGACGCCTTTATTGCTTCCTGTTTTATGGTTGTTAAATTGGAACATTTTTACTTTAGTGACCAAAATATGTATTTTCTGCTTAAAAATCAGGTTTACTTATATTCCAGAAATGGATGTAGAACTCATATTCCAACTACAATGCGTCAGAATATAATTCAGGGCTATTTATTCCTGTGTGAGTCTGTGCGCAATAAACCCAATATCTAATAATTCACGAGCTTCCTAACAAAAGTTATCAGATTCACCAGGCACAAAAAAAAAAAAGTTTCCCTTTTTTTCTGTTAGTTTTGCCAGCCATATTTTAAGTCTAGGCTATTCTCACAGAAAATTTGGGGATTTGCTGGTTTTGGAAGTTTTGCTGGAGAATGACAGGAAGTCAGAAGTGAATTGTGGACTCACCGATGGTGTGGGCAGGCAGGCCCTGCGGATGGCCTCCGAGCTGGAGTGCAGTGGAGTGTATTTCGGCTCGTGGAGTATGGGGTGCATACTGAAAGGTTGTTTGCTGTTCATCGACATCATGATTGCAGAAGTGAGGGAGGGTCGTTGTCCGTCGTCCTCGTTTGGCTCCGTTTTGGTTGTTTTCTAAAAAGAAACGCCTCGGGGAGAATAACCTGCCAGTCGCAGACACTTACAATGAAATGTCGTGCGTGATCGGGGGTCGTGGCTGCAAGTTGGGTTCGCTTAAAAAACAGTAAAAGAGAAGGAGAGGTAACTCCGGGCTCCTGCGGGTGTCCTGTCTCCTTTCCGCCTGTAAATGACTTCTATAATAAAGATGCTCCTCGCCTCCAGCTCCTATATTGGACCACTGCCGCGCAAGCTCCTCCTCATTGGTGGATCCTCTCTCCCTCCCTCTGGACGCCTCCACCAATCACGTGGAGCTCCCCGACTTAGGCACGCCCGCAAAGCGTGCCTGGCCTGCTGGAAAGAAGAAACGAGGAGGATTGCTGTGTGGTTGCACTGTTAAAACAATATTCGTTGAAATAACTGAAAAGCAACACCTGCAGGAGGAAATTGGCTCTGAACAGTTAGACAAACAGGTTGAACTCCAGCAAGTGGGAAAACTGTACCACCAAGAATCCTGGACACAGGAAGTGGAAAGTTAAAAGCTCAGACATAAAAAAAAAAAAAAAGATGTGGTTCATTGTCTCATACTGATATTGATTAATAACTATTTCCCCACATTTCTGGATTAAACAACAACTAATCTGAGCTGTGTGGCCCTGTGAGGATCACATTTAAATGTCAACAAGATGCTTCACAGTGAAAAGGTGCTTATGGCCTTCAAACACTCAGTTATTTAATGGCATTATAAATGTGTATTTGAGGCTTTTGTTCTGGAAGATCTGCTGCTGAAATATCAAAACCTGATTTTTAGAGTGTTGCAGAGCTCCTCCACAGTTCAACAGCAGAGCAGACAGATGATTACAGCTGTACTGTATTTTCTCCTTCAGCATGATGCTCACACCATGCTTATCTGAGTGTAATTCATTCTTTAAAACTATTTTCTCTCCATTTTGCTGCTTCTTTTTTTTAAACTGAGAGGAATTATTTTGCATCTTTACAATACATAAATCATACTATGATGATTTCAAACAGCAAATATGATAAAAAAAGCTATCCATCCATCTATACTGGGTGATAGCTGACTGATCAACAATGCAAATAATACACGTGCTCCGACACACACACACACACACACACACACACACACACACACTCACACACACATACATCAACTTTAACAATAACAACTTCAGCACACACTTCCACAATCTCTGTCAAACACACATGCGGGGCAAAGTTCTTGTTTTCTGATATTTTCTTGATTTTATGAATTCTAATGTGTTTTTGTTTTATTTTTATTTTTACTCTATAATTTATTAATGCTTTGGCAATATTTTACACTCATGCCAATCAATCAAATTGAACTGAAATTGAATTGAATTGAATTGAATTAGAGAGAGAGAGAGAGAGAGAGAGAGAGAGAGAGAGAGAGAGAGAGAGAGAGAGAGAGAGAGATTGAGCTCCAATTATTAATTAATGGCAGGAATTCCTCTGCCTGAACCCCATTCACTTTCTTGGCAATTAATACATTAATTAATCATGCTTCATTTACTTTGTGGCCGTAGTAAGGTCCCCCCCCCGCCCACATTCTCTCAATTAAAGAATAAACAGGCATGAACGGGAACTAAACAGCACAAACAGAGGACGATGAAATATTTACAGATGAACCTCGCGGGGTCACCGGGGCGGCGGCTTGTCAATCAAAAAGGGGATTTCCGGCGGGCAGGCACGCGCGCGATAAAACGGAATAATTATCCCAATAATCACCTAAAGGCGCTCCCCGAGGGGAAGGGGTCAAAGGGCAGCCCGAGGGGTTGAAGGGGTAGTGCAGGTAATCCCTCTTTTTGTGTGATAATGTGGCTGTTGCTACATTATTATTACAGTATTATTATTACTACTATTATTATTATCATTATTATTATTATTATTATTATTATTATTATTATTATTATTGTTGTTGTTGTTGTTGTTGTTGTTAGTTTATGAAAACTGTTTATTTGTGCTCATGAAATTAAACAACAACATTGGCAATATTTATTCAGTTCAATGAGATGTCTCAATCGGGCTAAACATAAAACATTTGTAAATATGAGAAAACTGTATTAACAGTGAATGTGTTAAGAATAATTAACGTTAGTGTTAGTTTTTGTGTGTTGGCCTTAAGCTCACATGGGAAAATATTTTACTGTACATTCAGAAAGGCTAACCTAGCTGAATGATCAAAACTGAAAACTACACTAATGACTCAATGCTCATAGTGTTCACTTGTGGTGTCTGTTTGACCTTGAGGGACACTACTGTGCAGTCAATATGCAACCCCCCGTGAAAATGTCATTCTTGTCTCTTGTTAGTTGTAGATTAAGATTCACTACAATTAAATGTTATGATGATGATGATTTTATAATGAAACAAAAGTTATTAACAAACTGCAGGTGACTCATGTTTTTGCAACAGGTATCCTCCCTCAAACTTTATAGAGCTACCTGTGTTTCATGGTGCACATGAAATCAGTAACTAGCAACCAAATAGTACAAAATTACTTTTAAACAAGTTAAGTAGCTGTATTCGAGTCAGTGAACAGTGTGTGGTGAAAGACATGCAGGGAGGTTAAAGAAGGATAAGAGGAACAGAAAGGTGTGCCTAAAGTCTCCTGATGGAAACATCTCTGAATGTTCCCCTCTGCTGTACATCATTACCCAACATCCTGGATGCTGTTTTATTGGCTACTTTCGATCTGTCCTTCATGATGAGCCATAGTGGTTGAAAATTTTACTGTTCCAAGGTTGCTTTTACCGTCTACTAAAGGAGAACATTGTCCTCAAACTGTAGGTTTCCCCAAATGTGGCCACAAAACAGCTTAATTTAATAGTTACATACGTTTGTAAATCGTAAGTCATTTTCAACCAAAATTAAACAATATAATAGATGAATGCATATCATCTTCTGTTGAGGGATTACTCCTTTAATAGGGGGCAACTGGAAAACCCCTAAAGGATCAAATTAACATAGTATAATTCAACATTTAAATCCATGTGTATATTTAACTGTTTCATGGTTTTCCTCACAGTAAAAGCTGAAGATGTGCTTCAGACTGGACTGTGTTGGCCCCTGCTGTAACTCTGCCTCCTGGTCTGCTGTCCTGGCTGAAACTCCAGCCCTGACTCACCGGCTCGCCTACAAAAAGAGTAGCAGTGTCGGTGACGGCGAGTAGGAAACCTGAGCGAGGCCCATTGTCCTGCTGTAGCCACGGCCCTCCAGAGGGTCCCCAGCACCCGCTCATCAAATATACATCACCCGCCTCCACTGGGACGCCGACAGGCAGGACGCTCCTCTGGGAAGGCGACACCGCATGGACAAAATGCAGGGAGCCCAGCTGGGGTGGGAGGGAGGAGAGAGAGAGAGAGAGAGAGAGAGAGGAGGAAAGGATGGAGGAAGAAGGAGGAGCAAGATGAGAGAGGCAGTCAGGAAAAACCAAGTTCAAACTTTAAGGTCACCACTTTTTCTGAAATAATCATCTGATTAACAGTTTATTAGAATTTGGCTGGCATCGGTTTAACTGTTCAGTTTTTGTTTTTGCCTGTGAGGCCATGTGAATACATGTCCTTTACACAATCTATTTAAAGGATCAGTGTTAATTAAAAGGAAAAACCAACATAAAATGTCTTGGTAAGGTATTGTTCCACCACAAGTCTCCAGAACATCAATAGTAAATCCAGATTTAACATAAATTGTAACTACATCATCAGATAATTCTGCAAAAGTAAATGTTCATTTAATTTATGTGCATTTCCATCCACAGCTGCCAAATTGTTATATATTAGGAGAAAACAACTGGATGCATGATGCATTAAACCATTGCAGCAGAAGAGGGTGTAACAACATGTCGTAGTTAAAAGAGCATCACTCAAACGTCAAATGGTGTAAAACCACAAAAAAGACCTGGTTTTTGTATCTGCTTCCATTTTTAGCCTCTTTAGTAGAGCAAAAGTTTAAGAGTACGTTTAGGTGTCCTGTTCCATGTACGTCATGATTTCTTTACTAACTTTTCATTGCATCGCATTTTGGTTTTATCAATACACCTTCTCCCTCACCCAAGTGCACATTTTTTTAGTTTTTCCAATGTTCATTAAACAGGCAGATGTAAACACACTTAATGCTCCTTGGTAAAGGTAGGGATGCACACCATTATTCCCTCATTTGGTGTTTTAATGATAGCAGTGGAGAGCGCTGTTCAGCACCAAAATCTCCCACTCTCTGTGAAGAAATACTGTTTTCACTCTGTCTGTGTTTTTCACACGCAGGCCTGAAATACAATCATCATTGATAGACATGCAAATGAGAGATGTGGAGAAGCTGCCACGCAGACACTCTGGGAGCAGTTAGGGGTTAGGTGCCTTGCTCAAGGGCACAAGAGGCAGCATGCTGTGGTCCCTGCTGGACTTGAACCAGTGACCCTCCGGTTCCCAAGCCAAGTCCCTACAGCCTGAGGTACTACAGCTACTACTGCCCACCTACTGCTGCCTGTGATTCATCATTTTCATTTCCTCCTCATGCCTTGTCATCAGAAATGTAATGGCCTTTCCTCTCAGTCAGGTTCAAAGGTTCCAATTTAAAACACTGGCCAGTTGAGCAGTTTCCGATCATTCGTGCACCATGAACTCTATTTCAAACTCCCAAAGAGAAATTCCCTCTTGTCAAAAAAATGGCAATGGTATTTTTATACTTGCCACATAGATCATGATGAGACATTCATTGCTTTAATTATATCATGCAGTGCACCAGTAAGGAAGCATCTACATTTACTGTTCCTGTACTTTTCTTTTAATTTATTCTCACTTGTTTGATATGATTTTGTAAATAGAAAATACATACATCTAATTTGTCCCACAAAACAAAAAAAAACTTCAAAGGAAATACTTAACTGCCGACAAGTCACACGTGGGGGCGGTACCTGGGGACGACTGTAGTTTTGCAGTTTGAGCGAGCGTACTAAAAACAGAGCTGAAAAACTGTTTTTATTTGTGTGTATATGAACAATATAATGTACGTGCATGTGTGTGTACGATATGTGCAGCTATGCATGGGTGACTGTGTGTTTTGAGTGCAAGATGGACTCTGAGGGATCAAACGTCCGGCGAAGCTTTCAGCGAGCAGAACATGGCCGCCACACTGCGTATTTCTGCCACATTTAGCAAATGGACACTGAAGT